GCAGGAGGGGTTGGGTATATACAAACATAATGAGTGAGATGTGCAATGTTTGGGGGACGGTCACACTTGAAGCTCTGCCTCGAGGGGGGAGGGAGGCATGGGCAATGTATGTAACCTTAACATTTGTACCCCCATAATATACTGAAATAAAAACAAAACAAAACAAAACAAAACACAATATCATCTCCTTTCCCTTTATATGTGTTAAAATCTGAAGATAAGTGTAAGAATTAGAAAAATGAACTGGGGATTAGTTTGCTGCTATTTCTCCAGCTATATGTCTTACAGGAAATTACTTAATAAAACACACTGTTTCTTCATCTCTGTACCCGTATTGAGGATTTTCCCTCCTGTCCATGACCTGTGGCATATATCTAATCTCAAATTGGCCTGCCCTGCTAGATATAGGTAATTGAAGGCTAAAATTGACTTTAATGGAGACTAAAGGAAGCAAAATAGAGTGTGGAGATTCAACTAATTAGATATATTATAGTTAGACAAAATTCCTGTTTTTCCAGAATCCAAGTAAAACTAAAGTTTAAAGTACTAGACAAATCCTGCAGCCTTGTTTGCTAATAATTGATGTTCTACTAGAATATGAGCCCCTTGGGAGAAGCTCCACGTAATTTCCCTTTTGTATACAGTTTAGTTCACAGCTTCCCACGTGATTTATGCTCAAATTTATTGTTTTGTTTTCTTTTTGAGTATTGTATGTATGCTCCTAAAATGCCTTCTGAATATTCACCAAAAAATTAAATTCCTTTGGGAGTGTGAAATATATTGAATTATACACTAATTCCTTGAGACGTGATAATCTCGTCACCATACCATGCAATCCTCTTTCAATTAGCATATTCCATCAGTGTACTATCTCATTTCTCAAATACGCTAAACTACTAAGCTGGTCTCTGAGAACTGCACACTACATTGGAGATTCAAGTCAACCTGTTCATTTATAAAGTGAGAAAAATAGAGACTAATGAGATAAGAAAATGACACATAAGTAATTAAGAACTTGCACCCTTCAATTAGATAGACATACACTACAAGGCAAACATCACAATTTCTTTGTGGTTTTCTGCAAACCTCATATGTCTCCAAGATTACTTTCTAACTGTATAATGAGGGTAAATCTATTAATCTTCGTAACTATTGTAAAAAAAAAAAAAAAAGAATTCCTGCAAAGCACTTAGCATAGTGCCAGGCATATAATTAATATTTCAAAAAAGCTAGTCATTATTTTTATGACTGAATGACATGGTTTGCCAGCGGAGGAGCATGATTTCTGTCTCAGGACCCCTACAGGGAGCCGGGTGTCCTGGCGGTGCTTTGCGGTGGGTCCTTCCTCTGGGCCTCCGACCACAGGGGCGGCTGTCGAGTTCCTGGGCTCCTTTGCACCACAGCTCCAGGACCACAGCCCTGTCGCCCACTGGCGGGAGCAAAGGGAATCCTTCTTTCCTGCTTGCTGTGTTGTGTTCCAGAAGGCCGGCACAATTTAGGAACGGCAGGACACGGGACTGTATTTTGTGTGCTGGGTCTCCAACGGGTGTATGAAGTTGTCTCGGAGAGCTCAGAGGAGCAGCTCCTCACTGAAAATCTCAAGGGACAGGGACGTGTCGGGCTGCCCCAAACACTGGCTTGGCTTCCTGACCTGCAACTCACAGCTGTGCCGGTTAAGGTTTCCGTGGGGCAGACGGCTTGCTGCCCCGGGCAGAAGGCTGTCAGGTGTGCCTCTCCCCACGCTGTGGAGCTACCTTTGACCTCCCGAAACCCTTCCCTTTATCTTTAGGACCCGATGGGGTCGAGGCTGCCACAGTAGACTCTGGCAGAGATTGGGGTGTGTTTGTCGTCTGATTTTCCTCAAAAAACTTCTACACGGGCTGATAGGAATGCATAAGCTCGCCTAAAGCACCCACGAGCACACAGTCACTTCTGTAGAGGTGACGAGGGCGCGGGCACTGAGGGAAGGAGGCAAGGAGGATCAAGCGCGTCTGGGCGGGGAGCGGGCTGCTCCTCTGGGGCTGGGAGAAGAGGCCATAAAGAGGAGGGGGCCGTCTAAACGGAAGACTGATTTTCAACCGGGGGGGGCTTGAATATCAGTTGGTTACTTTTTAAACCACTTCTCTTAGGTACAATAAAATGATACCTGAAGTCCAACTGCATGGTTTTAAAAAAAAAAAAAAAGGAAAGAAAGAAAGGAAAGTTACTGCCCCGGTCGCAGGGTCCCGGCTGCACCCAGAAGCAGCAGCCCCTCCCAGCAGCAATGGGGCCAGGGCCTGCCGGAGCGAGCCCCCGGGGCAGGACCCAGAGCAGGCAGCCTGGAGGGTGGGTGTGACCTTCAGTCGTCATGACGACAATGCCTTCACTTACACTCGAAATGCTTTGAAGGGGCCTCCAGAGCCCTGTGGCCAGCTGTCCCTCCCCTCTCCCTCTCACCATGGCAGCGCCCTTCCCTCCAGCTGCACAGGGCACGGTGATGCCCCTGCCCCACGCAGATCCATCTGAGCCTCAGGGGAGTCCATGTGGACCCCAAAGTGGCGGGCGACACAGTGGAAAGGTCTCTTCAGGAGGCTGCATGCTGCTTGTCCCTCTGGTACTAACTGAATGCAGGATGTGGCAAAGTCGTGCCTCAGTTTCTCCTCTGGCTCATGAGGTCTTACGTGAACTCTCACAGGCCGAGGAGGGCAGAGGCTCCCCGCACAGGTTCAGGCCAGACGTCTACTCACCCAGCTCAGTCTGCAGTTTCTCTGGAAAAAGGAGAATCACACATTAAGGAATTTGGTCTAAGAGAATGGAAACTATTTCAAAAAAATAAAAGCAAGTTCTACATTTTATTGGAAAGCTCAATTCATAGAAAAATATTCATTGGTTCCCAAGGATCACCCAGTGGTACAACTTTTTTTTTCTTTTCTCTGCACAACAAAAATGCTCTCACTTCTATCTTCCCAAGATTTTGTTTGTTTCTGCTGATATTTACCATATATATTTATCATATATACTTACCACATGAATATTTAAGTGTAAGTTATAAAAACAATACATGTTCCTTTTATATAATAGATACATGAAAAGTATAAAATTATATGGACATGGGAAATTATCACCTATATTACAAACAGAGATTGTATATATAATATAGAGACTATATATATAACATATTATCAGCTTTTTTCAATTAAAATATAACATTTACTTTAAGCTTTTCATCCATTTATATGAACAACTATATTCTTGTATCCAAATAGAGAGGACATCCCAAAAGTCTTAGTGCAGTTATAAGTTACTTAAAGCTGATAATTTTTATATGACTGGAAATCTATTAATAGGTAGATAGATGTAATCTTTACCATCAAATAGTACATCATAAGGACTTTTTTATCAGTAGAATTATTGTAGAATACCATTTTTCATCAATTTATAGTAACATAAAAAACTTAATACTCTACTGTTGTGTTGGGTTTTTTGGTTGCTTTTCTTGTTATTTATATATGAGGGTATAATTAATATTCTATTATATAAATAGTTGTCTCTATCTCTGATTATCTTCTTATAATAAATTTCTAGAAGTAAATTTATTCTAAGCACAACACAGCACAGGAAAAAATGCCACTTGAAGTACAGTTTCGTTTTCTTTACCATGTGCTGCATACTTGTGAGTGGAAAGAATCAACGCAGTAGAACAAAAGGTGGCATTCGAAAGCAACTGAAGTGCCATTAACAGCTATTCAATCAAAATGTAGTGCCTATATTTCCGATCATAAATGTCCTATAGCTTTTAATATATATTGCTAAATGTTAGATGTTTTTCTTGATAAAAAGTTGAGGTGCCACGGTGCGGCGCGGAGCCTCCCGCTCTGGCCTGAGCATGCCGACCCTAGGGGCAGAGCACTGACCTGGGACGGCGATGGCCGAGCTCCTCTCCTCCGAGAGGACGGGGTTGCGGACGATGCAGGACACGGTCTCTGCAGGGACATTCCTGACCACAAGCGTGTCTTCCACGCGGAACAGGCCATCTTCATCTTGGATGTGACGCTCAGACACGGCCAGCAGCCTCTCTCCCCGGGAGTCCTCCCAGTACACCTGGGGCTCTGGGAACCAGCCCTTTGCTGTGCACACAAGCTGGACTCCGCTTCCCGCAGATTCGGCCACGTGGATGTCAGGGGCAGAGCCCAGACCTGCAGGGAGAAGCCGCAGCGCTGAGTGCGGGGCCCAGGGAGGCAGGAATCACAGGGAGCGTCTGAGACCCAGTGACAGAACGGTGCCCACAGGGAGAGGGCAGGATCAGGGGTCTGGGGAAGAGAAAGGACACAAAGTCCCTCCCCATTCAAACTGGAGTTCGGTACACTTTATTTGTTCTCCAGTCTGGATCTTACATTTTACCACCTGACTAGTGTACTCCAGACGCAGACAGGTGAGCATGAGGAGCCAGCTACAGTGACTTGGCTTTGTCTCTAGTCCTGCAAACAAGGACGTGTGATTTACTCAGGAATTTCTCTATGCTTCAAATTCTGCCTTTTCATCTTACTATTATCTGTGTCAGGCACATTGTCTGACACGTTAGATGATGTCTGGATTCCCATTTAAACGGAATATTGAATATAAAGTCAGAAACCACTTCCCTGGGGCCAGCCTTCCCGTTCCCTGTGCTGGGGGCCGTGGCCTTGGGGCGTGAGTGGGTAAACTGGAGCCTGTGAGATGGGAAGTTCTTTGTATCTAATATCCTGTTCACTGGGGAAAATGTTTTTTGGAAAATCCTAGTTCAGAACAATCTGTGTAATCATGAAATTCTTTCTCTATTCAAAACAAAACTCCCAGACCCAAACAGCGGACCATATTTGCACAGAGGGAAATTCCGTCTTTATCACTTGCCGGGGAAGAGTCCACTCTCTTCACTTGGAGCCTTAGAGAATTCGTGGCCTATTTGTAAAGGTCCACGATAGAGAAATGCATTAGCACCTTCCCTCCTCACCCCCCACATGTCAGAAAAACATGCATCCTTTATCCCATTTTGAATCACCATGATTATAGTAACAATAATAACAACAGCCATGGGTGTTAAGGAAAAAGCTGTTAGGACGCTGCCTCACGGGGCAGTGGGGAAGGAAGCAGCGCCAGCCAGGGCCCCGAGCATCCCCAGAGAGCTAGTCCCCTGACGCGGTGAATGGATTCTCCTGACATTCTCTTTAGGACATGGAGGATTACTCCTGTCAGGAAACCCGAGGACAGTTTACTGTTCAAATACTTATTTCTGTAAGACTTATTTCTATTCCTGGCTTGGCCCCTTCCTCCCCACCCCTTCCTGCTTTGCTGGTACTGGAGCGTTCTGCAGACCCTCGTCCTTCATAGTGGCTGTGTCCAGAAGCACCTCTGAGTGCCCAGTTCATCGAACCTGGCATATGATAATCTCCATAAAAGCACAACATTCTTAACCTCCTGGTCTCAGCGCTAGCTCCCCAGCTGGGGGAATTTCACAAAGACACAAGGCTTTCAGATCTCAGTTACTGCATAGATGAGGCTGGGTAGGAAGCAGCCATTTTCCCGAGACGGGGCACTGGGCAGGCAGCCCGCGGGCTCCCCAGCAGGCGGCTGGCTCTTGCCCACCAGCCCTGAGTGGCACAGCTCGTGCCTCACAGTTGCTAATGCCTGCACGTCATGGATTTAAAATAATCCTCAAGAACTGCCAAAATAAATACTACAAGTACTCTCCAATAATTTGGAACGAATCGATGTGCACACAGGGGCCCAGAGAGAAGTAAAAGTCACTGGAAATCAGGAAGGGGCGGGGGGGAGGTGAGGGGTGAAAACCTACCTAACAGGTAGAGTGAGCACGACTCAGGGGATGGGTGGGCACACTAATAGCCCTGACTTAAGCATTATAAAAGCTATCCATGTACCAAAAGCATTTGTACCCCTTTAATATTTTACAATAAGAAAAGAATAGTTAAAACCATTTAAGTTACATTTAGGAAAATATTTTTCCAGTGAGCTTACTTTGAAAACTCCAAACCCACTTGCTTTCAAGTGAACCAGGGCAGAGGACTGGGCATTAGGAATTGCCTTGATGATTCAAAGGGAGTTCTCCAGTTGACAATCCGCTGGCTGCGAATGAGTACCGCTCTCCCTCCCCCACCCTGTGTCTCCTCCCCCTCACTCACCTGCTACTGAGAGCAGCAAGCTTGTTTCTGCGCAATAGTGTCCCTCCTGGAAACGGCACCAGTATCGACCGTGGTCAGATGGCTGGATGTTGTGTATCTTCAGGGCCACGCGCCCGTCAGCAAGGCCGTCCTGTGTCCACTCCACCCGGCCCCTGTGCTCGGCCTGCACGTCGGGCCGCGCGGCCCCGGCGGGGCGGACCAGCACCGGCGCGCCGGCCTCCGCGCGGTACCACCGCACGTCCATGCGCGCGGCCGGCCGCCGGGGCAGGAGCCGGCAGGTGAGCAGGGCGTCTTCCCCGACCCTGGCCACGACGGGACGCGCGGGACCCACCACTCTAAAGTCATCTGCAAAACAGAGAGAAGAGGAACCAGACAGCGCCACGCAGAGTGGACCCGTGCTTCAGGCGTCAGGCCCATGCAAAGGCAGGCACCGGGGAGGGAGGGCTTCCTTTTCAACGTCCTAGAGAAATCCAGCCTGACGGTTTGTCACAGAGACACTCTCCTGTACTGAAAAGGAATGCAGGCCAAAAATTCGAGTTCAAATGCTGAGCCTGTCATGTATCGCCTGTGTGATTGGGGGCAAATCTATCATTATTCTCAGTGAGACTTTGAGATTTGAAGTCTTAACTTCTTCATCTTTAAGACACTAAAACCACCCTCTCTGGGTTATATTTATGCTGAGATAAGTTAATAGGTAAATTGATTTTTAAATTGGAAGCCATTAATGTTAGTCTTAACATTTTTGTCATTTTCCTAAAATTCAGGTAATAATTTCATTTATTAGATTGCTCAGCTTTCAGGATTGCTCTCAAGGAACTGTGCTTTCTTTCCTGGAGAAAGCGCTGGCACTGTGTACAATGCAGTTTTCACAAGGACATTTCGCGGGGGATTAAGGGCAGTGATTTTCTAGATGCTGTTCAAAAGGCCGCCGCGGAGCCCGACCTGCTTGCACTCTCCACGAGTGGAGTGACGTCATTCTACCCGACTGACCGTGACAGGGCACTGCAGCGGGAGCTCAGAGAGGCGGCCACGGCGTTTCTGCTCCTGACTGGAGCCTGGCCTTCGGGTGCCCGTCCAGGCTCCTGCCCTTCCCATGCTGCATTCCCCCGGGCTCATAGCGCCCTCTGATACAGAATTTCCATAATTCTTTTTCAAAGTGCAGCATGTGGACTGACAAAATTCATATACTGAGATTTCCAAGTCTGTTTCTTGGAAGTGTCCTTCTAGTTCCTTATTCCCGAGTATTCTTATGCTGCTAAATTTATGGCAAGAAGCAGCTGCTTTTCTTGTCCCAAAGGGCTGTCCTGCGGAAGTGGGAGGATGGGTGAGGCTCTGAACATCTTCGGCCACTGGCTCCAGTGCTTTGCACGTCTCATTCAACCCCGAAGCCTCGGCTAGCCTCTGAGACACAGGCACTGCTGTTGTTCTCATCATAAAGATGGAGAAGCTAAGGCATGAAGCCCTCAAATAACTTTCCAAAGGTGACCCTGCTGGAAGTGGAGGACCGTTGTAAGAACGCAGGTTCGTTGGCCACTGGACCTACACTCTTAGACGTTGCTCTCGTCCTTCTGAGCTTAGAACCCTGCGCTGGGCTGGCTCACGGGGAGGCTGGGGTACACAGCGAAGGGAGCAGGGGCCCTACCTGACTGCTTCATGGTCAGCAGGATGAAGAGGAAGGAGGTGACCACACCAGACAGACTGTGTGCTGGGAAATTCACCATGCTTCCTGGAACAAACACAAGGGAAAGGATGGCTATGCCTCAGTGAGGCTGTGACACACCCAGCACATTCCGCGGTCCCCGCCGGTTGTGCAGTGTGGACCAGGAATCCACATCAACCCCTTCACAACCAGTGAGATGGGCTTGGCTCCATTTCTCCGCAGTTACTGACCACATCCCAGCCCCTGCCTAATGTGTTGTACTTTAAGTTATTTTTTTAGGCCTAGGAAGCTTTCTGATTGAAATAAAAAGTACTCTTGAGCTAAAGAGACAATCATATTTTAAAAACACTCCTTAGGTTCATCTGTTGTGAGCATGCAGAAATTACAGAAGAGAATTTAAATATTTTTTCTCATCCTCCTCCCACCTTCTCTTGCAAAGTCCTTCTTCACCACAGTTTTCTACCTGTGGAGGAAGGAGCAGGCAGGCCCTGCCTCCCCACGCTGCAGCCAGGAAGCCAACATCCAGTGTCGAGGCTCAGAGCCCACGGGCACAGGAAAGCCTTAGAAAGCGGGGAAAAATGGGGCTACAGCAGAAGATGAATAAGGAAACACCCTCAAAACACCCTTTTAGGATCTTGAAAACATATAAGAATGGATAAAAGAAATAGCCCAACTGGCAAAGATTGGCAAACCCAAGAAGCCCCCTCTACTAGCATAATAAAAATCTTCTGCACAGCTAAGCAGTCTGAAACTTACCAGGAAAGACAAAGATTGAATGCTAGGTTTGCTGTTCAAAAATGAAAAATTTAGAGTGGAAGAAGCCTAAGACGAATTATATCTGATGTGGCAAGTATTTTATTGAAATAAATTAGCTTCACACCAAGTAGAAGAACCAGCTCAGGGACAATGTTGGGTTAATTCCTGCTTCCTTTTCCCCAGAAGCTAATTCTGGTAAGATTTTATGGGGCAGGGGAAGAATCCACAGTCTGAAATGGAGATGAATAACCAATGAGTCAAGAGATTATTATTACGCAAATATTACTCTTTTTGCTTTCTACAAAAATATGTGCTTTCACTTAAGACATAGCTAAGGACGTGGATATGAGCCCAGTCACAATACCTAGATCTAAAATGCACTGGCATAGTTATACGAAAGTGGGACTGCGCCTTACAAGACAGCACGGCCGGCAGCGCCTCTCCCCTGAATCTCATCAGTCACTCCTTTAGACTGAGGGTGGTGCGGACGTCCCCTCCACTCCTCCCGTGAAAAGCAGAAACATCTCTTTCCGCCAAGCAAAGAAAGCCCACAGAGACCACACCATGCCCCATCCCTCAGTTGTGTGAACTAACAAGAAGCACTGTACAGGGTTGTGCTCTTTTAGATCAATCATATTAAAGCGGGTGGGCGAGCCTACAAATGAACCCTGAAAAAATTGCCCAGACCAATGAAGCTTTGAAGAACATTGTAAAACTACATCTTAACCTCCTCCGGTGCTCAGGGATAGATTTGTGAGAGAGAATAAAAGTGGAGAATAATCACCTTGGACCAGGGTTCTCAATGGGGAAGGAGATGGTTTGGCCCATAGGGGACATCTGGCAACATCTGGAGACATTGTTGGTTGTCACAGGGGGGGGAGGGGACACACAATGGGTGAAAGTCAAGGGCGCTGCTAAACCGCATCCTGCAATGCGCAGGACAGCCCCAAACACAGACTCATCCAGCCCTGAATGTCAGTAATGCCAACGAAATCCCTGCCATGGGGTTTGCTGTCAGTGTATTGGCAGTCTTTGCACATTTTTTTGCATATTTTTTGCATAGTTTTTTTGTAAGTAGATGTCTGGACTTCAACTGCAAGTTTAAATCAAAACATTTTAATAATAAGCTTTTGACATCTCTGTTTAACCATTTGAATGTAGAGCAATAATCTTCTGAAACTGCTATTCTTATTAAACGTGGTAAACTTTGTTACTGTCAAGATATATGACCTAATATGTAGATGTATCATCAAATTCTTAAAATCCCATATTTGATTTAATTTTCTGGGTGAAGTGTATGTGTTAGAAGGCAACACTAAGTGGTAGTCTATGTTTAGGCATTAGGTGAATAACGATTCTGAATTTCAAGGCTTATCCTGCACTGCTAAAATTCATATTAAATAAAATGAATTACTAAAATGAATGACTAAATGAATTACTAAAAATTACTACATATCATGGGTCATTAGGATTTTTTTCATTTAAGAGCCTTAAATGTTAAATCCTCAAAATGCAAAATAGCCATAGCAATTAAGTGGTGAGAATAAATTCAGTTCACGAAGTTTGAAGCTTATGTATCTATATAGACCTTAAAAACAACTATAGTTTATTGTATGTTAAACAACATATTTCTATAAAGAGAAAGCGAAATACAATGTGAGTTGTAGGAGACGCGGTGATGTTGGACATCTCACTTTACTTTCTTAAACCTCTACTTTCTCTCCTCTCTGATCTTTCCAACTATGTCATCACCACGTGACAGACGAGGAAATCATGGCTCAGAGACATGAAAAATGAATAATGCGATCCTGGTTTCTTACTTTTTAATCTAGTGCCCCTTCCTCACCCTGCGCGCTTTGCGGGAACACCTGCGGATCAAAGGAGCTCTGACAGCACTCTGACAGGCGCAGTGGAGCGCAGACGCGCAGTGGAGCGGGAGGCGGGGTGGCGGGGGCCGCATTCCCTACAGGACGCGGGCTGTGTGCCCTCCTTTCCCGTCCTAGTCAGCGCCCCACCTCCACGGCCGTCCTTCACCAGGGGCTTTCCAAACCACTCACGTGTGACCCTGTCCTTCAGGGGTGAAAGCGGGGGCTGCAGGGTGTCCTCACTTGGTCTCAGGTGTATCCTTCATCCATGCAGCAGGTGCCATGGACAGGTCAGAACCCCCGGTGCGCTGTTCGGGGACGGAGCCGCAGGACAGCCAGAGAGTGTGGAGGTGGTCCCGGGTCCTGTGGGCTTTGGGCGGAGGCAGGATTCATGCAGCCTGCCCAAGCTGGAGGCAGAGCCAAATCCCTGGGCCTCTGAACATGGGGTTGGAATCAGGATGGCGCATTCACCTGCTATCAGCCGTAATCCTCTCGAAAGTGAAACTCCGGGGACAAGTGGACTTTGACTAGGTCCAGCTGTGGGTTCTCGGGACCTGCGGCCAGAATCGTGACACTGGCACTCCCCACCCTCCCCAGAAAGCCCGGGCTCTCACGCTGGGCCCCCATGCGACACCGGCTGTGCCGTCCCCAGTCGCGTCCCCGCACAGACCTGCCGTCCGGCAGCTCCTCGCGCCGGAGTCTGTCCCCTTCCCTCCGCCTCGCCCCACGCCAAAGCTCCCCGGCGGGTGCCAAGTGTCCGCCAGAGCATGGTCCTCGCAGGCTGCAGAGCTGGAAGCAAGACTGGGTGTCAAAATCCCGTCCCTCATTTAACTGATGACAGAAGAGAGGCCGGGGAAAGGACCTGCGGTCCCCGGGGTGAGCGCCCTGGGCCACGGCCCCCGGGCTGGTTTACTGCGGGTTTTACTTTGGTTCTTATCTCCCCTTCCAGGTAATGAAGGGCTTAATTACTCTCAGATATTTGCCAAAGAAATTTATTAGTAATAGACTTTTCAACACAATGTTTGTGTAAAGAGTGTAATGATAGGGTTTATAGGCACATTTTTATGTGTTTTTGTTTAGGCCACATTTTCTACATTCCTATTAAGTCTGCTTTTCTTGAACTTTGTAGGCAGGGGGGGTCTGCAGATTTAGTCTCAGGGTTTCAAGAGTTCTCCAGGATAATTTTTAATTTTAGATTTCATTTCAATGTAGTAATATAAGCATATGTGGCTTTATGATGTCATAAGGTTTGAGCAAATTTCTTTCCTGAAATTTCTCTCCCTGCCATTATGATCAGCCTGTAATTGGGCTACCTAACTTGAGTTACCATTCTAAATGTAAAAATTTCCACCTCATCCTCCAGTCCTGTCTGTCACTCGACAGACCCCTTGGGTTGCTTCCTGCTGGAGGGGCTAAGGCACTGGCAGAATTCCCGAGACGCCCACCCGGATTCCGAGCCAGGCCTGGAACTCCCGAGGGCGCTGAGGGGAGGCGGTGCTCACCGGGGACTGTGGCCTGTCCTCACGGCCACAGTTCAGTCAGCACTGCGGGAGGGGTCCGCTCCTTCCTGTCCTCCGCCCTCAACACCCTTTGTACCTGGAACCCCGTGGACGAGAGCCCGACCCTTGCGCTCCACTGAAGCACCAGTTACTACTGAGCAGCGCAGTAATTATTGAAATGGAAAGGTTATTACTGATTTGGTTAGAAGATCAAAATAAGCGTAACTTTCCTATTAGCCTAGCATCGATGAAACTACATTAGGGGAGTATTAACCTTTAATATTCTTTTTTGAAATTTCTCCTGTCTCATATCTAGACTTTTTGCATTAGTTGGTTTTTATATCGTTTGTTTGAATTGAAAGAAAGAGCACACACACACACACACACACACACACACAAAACCTGACTCTGTTGTTGTGTAGAAGCAGCCTGAGGCTCTGAATTACCGTGTGAAACAATACTTAATGGATTTGTTCCTTTTGCAAAAGTATTTTCTGCCAGCTGTGGGAGAGGGGAATGATTCCCTCACTTTAAGGTAATACTTGAGCCTGAAATGATGGGCTCGGGCAGGCCATTGCCAGGTCATGAGGGGGCAGATCCTGGAGGGGCCCTGGGTGCAGGGGGACAGTTCCGCTGACTCAACAGGGGCAAGTCACCCTGGCCTCCAGGAAAGGCGCCCCCACAGGGTGCGTGTGTCCCAAGGCATAAACACTCTGGGGATCAGCTCAGGTCCTGCAGGGACAGAAAGGAGCTCCTCTGTGTCCACGACTATATCAGGGCCTCTGTGACAGCCCAGGGTCCACAGAGATGGAGGTGATATGGGAGTAAACGTCCAGGAAGCAGCTCTGGGTGCCCAGTGTGTGCCTGCTTGTCCTGCCCACCTCACCCAGTGCCACCTTGGCCTCAGCAGCAGACACAGTGGACGTGGAATTGAGCGTCCACATCTCCTGAGCCCCTCAGTCCTCCAGGGCTGAGTGCTGTGACAAGGCTCCTTCAAACAAAAGGGGGGCACAGCATTGCCACCTTGCCAAAGCCCCAGGAAGAAGGAGAATCGCCCCCCAAGTGAGAGCCCCTGGACTGAGGGCTCACTGAAAGGAGAATGAAGAAGACTGTGATTCCTAAAGCTCATGCCACAAGAACAGGGCACTGTAATGGTGCCAGGACGCTCATCCAGACCTAGATGTCTCCGCACGTCTTCCCAGATCAGAGATTTGCTGCCAGATGTCAGTTAAAAAGAAGAAAGAAAGAAAAGAAGGAAAGAGAGAAAGGGCAGTAGAACCTCCAGATAGTGAATTGTGGTACTCGAAATAAACATTTAGGGATGGGAATTTGAGGCAATTTCTGGTTCTGACTGACCTAAGCTGAAGAGCTCTTTGCACTGTTAGATCCGTCATTGTTGTAGAATCCAGAAAGCCTCTGCCAAACCGCTTCCTCTAAAATTTTTAAATGTACTTTTATGAAAAAGTTACAAAAGTATAAACAATCACTCATTGTCATCCATTATTTTCGGAAAATGATAAACTACATAAAACTGCCTCCACTGCAGGTGTTAGCCTATTAGAATGGCGACCCGATGAAGAGATGTAAACATGGGAGTAACTCACACCAGTGGGCTCTCAAACCCAGGCAGATGCCCCTGGGGGAGGCAGGGGCCACAGACTGTGCCTTACACCCTCACCCTCCTCCCAGGACCCCCGGGACCTGCATCGCAGGGATGTCCAGCAGGCATGTCTCACGCTGGAAGTAGGAGAACCTTCCGAATGTTGCGGGAAAGAAGATTAAAGAACTGAGCCGCCTGCCCTTGCACGCATCAGCCTCCACGCTCCCTGACTTCACCCCTTGGGTCCGGGCCTCTGCCCTTGCACGCATCAGCCTCCATGCTCCCTGGGTCACCCCTTGGGTCTGGGCCTCTGCCCTTGCACACATCAGCCTCCATGCTCCCTGACTTCACCCCTTGGGTTGGGCCTCTGCCCTTGCACGCATCAGCCTCCACGCTCCCTGGGTCACCCCTTGGGTCTGGGCCTCTGCCCTTGCACACATCAGCCTCCACACTCCCTGGGTTCACCCCTTGGGTCTGGGCCTCTGCCCTTGCACACATCAGCCTCCACGCTCCCTGGGTTCACCCCTTGGGTCTGGGCCTCTGCCCTTGCACACATCAGCCTCCACGCTCCCTGGGCCACCCCTTGGGTCTGGGCCTCTGCCCTTGCAGGCATCAGCCTCCACGCTCCCTGGGTCACCCCTTGGGTCTGGGCCTCTGCCCTTGCACGCATCAGCCTCCACGCTCCCTGGGTCACCCCTTGGGTCTGGGCCTCTGCCCTTGCACGCATCAGCCTCCACGCTCCCTGGGCCACTTCTTGGGTCTGGGCCTCTGCCCTTGCACACATCAGCCTCCACGCTCCCTGGGTCACCCCTTGGGGCTGGGCCTCTGCCCTTGCACGCATCAGCCTCCACGCTCCCTGGGCCACCCCTTGGGTCTGTGCCTCTGCCCTTGCACGCATCAGCCTCCACGCTCCCTGGGTCACCCCTTGGGTCTGGGCCTCTGCCGGCTCCAGCTGGGAGCGCTCCCCAGCGGGCCGCTGCAGTCCCGCGCGTGACCAGTAGATGGCACATTTGCCCGAGACCGGCCGGCGTCTGCTGTGCTGGAGACTTCAGATTAGCGGGAGGGACTGCGGTCCCCAGTCTTAACTTCCAGTCTCCTCCTTCCTAAATTGTGTTTTTACATTGCGTGGTGAACTCAGTTCAAACACAGCAGAACGGGGACGGGAACAGGAAATCCGCTGCCGCTGAATATGCTTCGATCTCCTGGGGCCTCCGCGGAATTCTGTGATGGAACCACCGGGGAG